CAGATATTGAGTACCCACCAAATTCCACATATAATAACTCTTGGAGAGCTTTTGAATTTTTTACTTAAGCTACTGCAACTTGAGTACTAATATAATACAGTCCACATCACCAGGACAGAGTGGCAACATCTTACATGTACATAACACTTTCTGTCAGAAAGCAAAGGCATTTTAGGGATAGATGATACGCAGTACTTGGAGTTTAGTTCTATTACCCACACTTAGTAAATGAGAAAACAAGGCATAGATAATTGAAGCTGTCTGCTAAACATAACACACAAAGCCAGTAGCAGAAACAGCAGTGAATAGATTCCAAGGGCTTCTTTCTCTGGTGTTTGCAAAAAAGGATGCTTTAGTTTAAAACTAAAAGTCAATCATAGCCTGTTTTACTCTGTTCAATCACTGCCTCCCACTGTTTTTAAGTATACCTGTGAACTTATAACTGTTAATTCAAGCCAAAGTTGTATTTAGGGTCGTTTATCAGGATTAATACTAACCTCACACTTCAAAAGAAAAATGGGGGGGGGGGAAGGGGGGGGGGAAGAAGAGAAAAGCATAAGACAAAAAAAAAAAGGCAAAAAATTTCCATGTTCTGCTGCTTTATTCTTCTTATGCTTGGTTCAAGTAACTGTCACCAATTTCAGTGCAACCTCTTGTCATGCCAGAGAGCTGTTCCCAGATTCATTTGAATTAGCAATCATATCAGAATACTCCACAAAGCATTCAAATTGGTACAACTTCTCAGGCTGGAACCATTATTTTTTTTCACTGCCATGATGCTCCTAACACTTTCTGGCAGTTCTTAAGTACTACTGCTTATGAAGCAGTTGCACAGATCCAAAGATATGCTGGTATGAGTTAAAAAAGAGATGGCCCACCACAGAAATCCTTTTTTTTAAACAGTAATGTTCATTATATTTATGAACTGGTTTACTGTGGTATTATAAAATGGAACACTTTGAAAAGCTCTTTCTTAAAGCTTTCCTTAAAATAACAAATCTCAAAGCAGATAATTTCATCTTCAAATATTTAAAAAGGACTCAGATTACCGAGAACCGATGCATTTGAAGAGAATTGTGCTGCAGGACATCACACAACATGCCACATTTTAAGTGATGAAAAATAAACCACAATTTGGTCAACTTCAGTCCACTTCAGACACAACTCTGGAGCTACACTAGAAGTGAATGTGGTATGTCAAATCTTGTTGGAAGTTCAAACAGACATGACATAGCTCAGTTAAATGCTAACAGGAAGCCAAATCTTAGTTCAAGGTAGTTCAGGAATGGAGTAAAACTGATTAGTAAAAAGCCGTTTATAAAGAAGAACAAAAGCTGAGGACAGCAAAACAGCATCTATGATCGTTAGTAAGACAACCATATACTCTGTTCTTGAGTTTACAACATGATCAGGTGAGGATATAAAATGATGTCGTTAGCAGTCCAAATTCTACTGTTAGTTGTATCACAACCACACCAAAATATGCTCAGATGCATTAATCCAAATGAGGGGACACCTTGGCCAAAACACATTTAAATGATACCTCAGCTAGTAAAGCAAGCAGGGTGCTATTGTAACTGCATTTCAGCAACAAGAGTCACATGCAGTATATACTCCAGCCAACTGAACTGAGGTATCTCTATGTATTACTTTTTCCCCCCACAAGATATTCACTCACCAAAGTTCACTCAACATTTTGGCGCTTGCTATCTTTACCTGAAGACAGTCTCATTTAACTGGTATACAATCAGCTAATATGGCTGCAAATATAGCCAACTAATATAGCCAAACTGTATACTTATGAGAATTCAAACTCCAGAAAAAGTTTTAGTCCTCAGATGGAGAAGTTTTCCTGAATTTTGAGAGGACTAATTCATAGTGTTACATAAAATTTAACACCAAAAAAGTTGTTTAAAACAGTCTATTTAATTCCACAATGGGAATGTAAGGTTTCATTAAATTCTAGAGGCTAGTTAGAAGAAACCAAACTGAAAGGTCACCATCTTCTACTAAATTCTCTAGTACTTTTCCCCAACAGAGGCATGAAAACTTCTACTTCTGCATGATGTTTCTAATATTGTATCATTACAGACAGAGGTAATGTGGCCACTAAAGAACCTAAATCCTTAAAAAATTCCCACAGAAAGTGGTATTGGTACAAGGTAGTACATGGAGAATTCAATTTTTCAGACCTTTTCTTTCATTTGGTGATTATGAGTGAAATTCCAGCAACAATTCATTAAGATAAATCTTGTGCATAGTTTAAACAAATGTTTCTGATAGTATCTAATTTAGGGTTTGTTTTGTTTTTTTTATCATGACTGACACCACTGGTAACCTATATAAGATTACTCAGAGGTAGGAAAAAAAAATTTACATGTTCCAGATGTCTGAAGGAGTTTCTGTATTTTATTTACAATTCCCTTAAAATATTCTGACCAGATTCATTCTGTCTGCCCCCAAAGAGTACAGTGCATAGGAATGTGTAGAAAGCCTTTAACTTATTTGAGTAAAGGCATCAGAAAAGTATAGTTTCCAAAAATAAAAATCTTAATTTTGCCCCCTTCGTTTTAGTTTCACAGTTTTTAATTAGCCTATTCATCAATACTAATGAAAATTATAATTCATCTGACTTCCCAGTAGGAAGAAAATGACATTTTATTTGATCCACTGTTAATTCATTCCAGATAACTGCCCAAACCTCAGTCAGCTTCAGGTTAGAACAATATCAAGTCCAAATGCTACATTTTTTTCTTGACTTTTAAAATAATTTACAAAATATGAATTCTCATTCAGTCTTAGAAGCTCAGAAATCTTTCAAAATGATGGGATGCTCAGATTGATCAACAACTTACTCTTAGTAACCAAATGTTTTTTTAAAAAAAAAAACAACAAAAAAAACAAACACAAAACCAACTTTCAAATGCCTTTTAACAGGAAAATATAATTAGTAGAATCTTCCACTGCCCTTATGAGAACCTATTTGAAACATATCTACTGTCCCTTACAAGTATATTGCAGTGAAAAAAATCAGGTCACAGGGAAGGAGTAGGAGTTTTGTTTCTTGTGAAGATTTTCACAAGATGTTTAAGGTAAAAGGAAGTCCTATGACTCAATACATAAGCCACATGCTAGACTACACTTTAGAAGAAATAAGAAACCAGATTATAACTGTTCCTATAGAAAGAATAATAAAAATCCTTGTGTTTTGTATATGTGGGTAACGTATGCTTAGAAGTTTATTCTAGCAGAGTGTTAAATCTGTTATCCTATGACCTTCACAAACCATGTATTTTAACAGAATTATTATCTATTTGTAGGAAAAAATGATACCAATTCTTGCTCTATTACAACAGAAGAGCATTTCCAGCCATTTTCAATTTCAGTCCCTCAACAATTTTTCAACAGATTTAAGAAACGTGCACCATAAACATAAGCCGATTGACAAAAGGTTTCCTTTCCTAGTTTCCTCTTACAGAACTCCAGAACTAATGGATTGTTCTCCATAAGTTTACAGATTGAAATTTGAAAAGTGTTTCACTAAGAATAAATTTGCACTAACTACACTGATTTATGGAAAAATAATTTGCCATATTTGTTAGAAGTACTACTGACAACAGCTTCAGTCCAGGAAAAAGACAACATGGTAACAGACTTCAGATATCTAAAAAATAATTTAAATTGTGATAGTAATGAAAAAAAATAACTTTTTAATTTGTAGCAAGAGATTCAGAGCAGAATATTTTGAAGAAGCTGTAGAATTCTCACTTTTGGGGACCTAAAGGTTTTGGGAAGGAGAGGGAAGAAAACACAAGTAATCATCTAAATTTTACTACTCCTTTTCTGAGAGAACAGGACTGCAGCAGTTGACTGCTAGAGATCTCTTTCAGCCTTGCAGTACTTGACATCACTACAGTATTTGGCACTACCATCACACTTCTGTGGTTTCATTAATAACAAAAAACTTGTAACTGCACCATTAAGAGTTCAAAATAATTGGATTTCAAGGAATTCTCACAACAGAGTGATCTGTTTCATACTTCTAATATGCTTACATTCAACTAAGCTAGCAGCTTTATTCTTGTTTCGGTAAAAATAAATTCTGTATCTCCCTTGCTTGTTAGTCAAAGGAGGGGCTTTTTAATCTTATTCCATCAGGTATCTGTTGAGGCATTCATGAGACTTCCTCTATTTTTCAACTTATCCTGTTCCATCCTGAACGTTCACAGCATGAAGTTATTTGTGTAGTGTACACATAGTGTAAATAATTCCAAACTATGTACCTGTTTAAAAGAATTGCAAATTCTGCATAAGAATAATTTCACTACTGCGGATATATACACCTTCTAAGCTACATGCTTACATCTTCCACAGTCACCCAGCGTACAGCCAGGAATGAGCACCACCGCTTTCGAGTGAAACTAATGAAGGTGGACTCCAACACCCAGTTCATGCATCAGAAGGATGAGGGAGTTTCACGTTCAAATCCGACTGTAAAAAAAAAAAAGTTATCAACGTAGTAATTGCCGAAGGGAAAAACAACCTAACTGCTTCGTCGGGTACGGGGTGGTTTCTCCCCCACAACGCTCTATTCTCAGGCAAGAAGAGCAGCTGCTCTTCCCTCGCAGACCTCCCGCTTCAGCACAGTCGGTGCCAGAGGGGTGAGCACCTTCCAACCAGCGGGCAGCATTCGGGCTGCCAGCGCTCCCCGGCACCGCGGACGCCCGCGTGTATTTTTATTAGTCTTCACAGAACCGTTGCCATCGGCCTTTCCGCTGGTGAAAACTTAATACGTTAAATAACCCACGCAGAGGTTTCGCGGCGTGGTCCGTCTGTCCTGGCGCGGCCGTGGGCTGCCCGCCCCAGCCCCAGCCCGTCCTGCCGCCCCTCTCCCCTCACGGCATGAGGCACACACCCCCCCCTCCCCGGGGCTGGAGCCGGTTTTAATCGTCCCCGCGGGCGTCGGAGGGGCTGGGGGGGGGGGGGTCTGGGGTACTCACATGCCAGATGGCGAAGAAGATGAGGGCGGCGCAGAGTACCAGCGACAGCATGTAGCAGAAGGCGGCGAAGGTGAAGGCCATAGCGGGAAGAGCCCTCCGCGCCCCCCCACCGCCGCCCGGGGCAGGGGGGGTGGGGTCCCGGCGGGCGACCGGGAGAAGAGCGACCCCCGAAATCCCAGCGGGGAGAGAGCGGCGAAGCGACCGGGCGCCCTCCCGGCGGAGGGGGGTGTCACACACGGCCGGGCGAGCCGGGACGGACTGGGAGCGGGAGCGGCGACGGGCGGGCTGCCGCCGCCGCCCCCCTCACAGCCGCTCGCCTTCGCTCCGCCGAGCCCGCCCCGACCCGCCGCAGCGCCGGCAGCGCCTGGGCTGCGCTGCCCGGCCCGCCGCCGCCGCCGCCGCCGCCGCCGCTCTCCCCTCCCCGCTGGGGCGCGGCGGTGGGCGGCCCCGCCGCCTGGGCGCCCCCGAGGGGCAGGTCCCCTCAGCGGGGGCGGTGGCGCAGGCCGCGGCTGCGGCTCGGCGGGGGGGGCTTGGCGGGAACGGCGGGGAGTCTGGGCGGCGGGGACCGGCCGCCGCTCGGGCAGCGCCCGCCGTTACGGCCGCGTGTCCCTGGCTGAAATCGCGCCTCACGGCAGCGTGACAGGAGCGAGTGTAGGCTGGGATCAGTTTAGGCCAAATCCTGAGAAGGTAATTACGTGCCTAAACTTGAAGTGTTTTGCGCTGTGTTTGGTGGGGTTGATTTGTTTGTTATTTTTCCTCTGAGGATCAGGTAAATCTGAGGCCGTCACCCCACCCGGCGTGGAGCGGCCGGCGCCGGCGGGGCCTCCGCTGAGGGAGGGCGGGAGGGAGAGAGAGGGGAGAGAAACCGAGCCCAGGAGCTGATGAACGGGAACGGAGGAGCTCAGCGAAGTGGGGTGAGCCCGCCCTTTCCCACTAGATGATGGAGGTATCTAGTGTTAGAGTGAAGAAAGACAAACCTGCCTTCAGTGCCACAAACTAGGAGGGTGCTCTCGATGACTTTCAGGTATACGCAATACCCAAACCACTGAAGTACGTATTCAAAATAAGGAAGGAAGAGGAAGCCCCTGCCTTCTTACCTCGTCTTTAAACAGCATCCATAAGTGCCTCCAGACATGACGTAGCCATTTCTGCAGATCTGTTTTAAATTTGCCATCAAAAGTTCTTCCACCTCTTTGGAGCACAACAGCTGACACAGTACAGCAGGTTTGTAAGCAAAAAGTTTTCAGGAGAAAATAGCACCAGAAGTCCCATTTAGAAATATTATGAAAACAATGGATAAAAGCTCTGTATTTGAAATATCCTTGCAAAACTTAAAAAGAATTTCAGTTCGCAGCATTTTTTCTATCCTTTTATGGATGAAAGGGGGTTCTGTGACAAAACTATTTGGAAATTTGTCAGTGGTCACCTGTGAAAAGTCAGAATTCATGGTACAAAAGCATAACTCCATCAAAGCCAAGTTCAGTACAAGCTTTCTTTTTAAAAGTTTACAATATATTTTTAACATAATACTCACTTTTATCCTGAGGAAAGAGTGCTGATTTGAATCAGGAGTCAAGGCCAGTAATTAGTAAACCAATCAGGAATAAACTGATGGATGTAATTTTTTATAATCGAGCAGCTCCAGACTGTACATGTGATTTGATGCTTTAATTAAGAAGGACAGAACACAGCAAATGGTAATGAGCTTTGCTGTCATACAGGGATGCAGTAAATGCTTTGTAATTCTCTGACCTTTTAATTCTTCTGTATCTGAAATCCTGCAGAGTGTATGCTTGTGAAAGTAAATGGTTTATTCATAACCACACATTTTGAAAAGAGCTGTAAATGAGGCACAGAAGTCATCCTTGGAATGATTTATTTTCTTTTATTTTGCCACCGTTGCTTTAATATCTGGATGTATATTTCCTATGTTAAGGTTCAACGCAGAAAAACTGATGCTTCCAAGAAAACCAAAACATTTATTTCTGGAGCACTTCTATGTATACACTCACACACACATATAGGTGTATCTATAAAAATATAAATACACTGTAGGTATCATAAAAGTCAGAAGTGGAAACAACCATTAATTCTCAGTTTAGGACTACAAGGTAAATATTCTCCTCTTTTTCACTGTCTCTCCTCTTCATTTACATTCCAGCTATGTATTTGGAACTTTTCAACGAATATACAGGCAAAATACTTGTTTCGCATTTTGCAAGGAGACAGTTCCACAGCTCAACACTTCCAAGATCACATAGTCTTTCCTCATACTGATTTTGAAACATATATTGCCCATTAGCCATATTTCTAGTCATTAATCACTGCTAGTGGCTGACTAATTACAAAAGTTTCTGATATACAGTGAAAGGAAAATCTACCAAGATGCATTTAGCACATTTTTGTCCTACTAACTTCTTACATTATACCATGAGGATACCTTAAGTATTCTGAGATATTTAAGTGATGGAAAGTGGTGAATTTACCCTTGACTCAGTACATCTCTGAGATTTGTCACCATAATCATTAAAAAGTCTTCCTTGTCTCACCTCCTTACAGACATTACAGCTCTCTGTAGCATGAGGACCTCACAGCAGGGAGCCGTTCCTTTGTCATTTCTGAATGAGACTACTGCAAACCAGGGCATCTGAGGCAAAAGGTGAAAACAGCATGGATATGCCTGACCCTTTTCTCACTGGTTTAAGCCTCTGTGAACACAGCAGGAACATCAGCCTGTCTGTTAGCTCCCCATCCACTTCGAAGGTCTTGCTCCTAACCTTCAAATAAACTGATGGATCTGATCCTAGCTGCATGAAAAATTACAGTCCAGCACCCAGCTGAGCTCCTTTGAAATAATGCGTATCACAGAGACCAGAACGGAGGGTGTGGGAGCTGGGGATGCAGCATTATAACTGAAGGGCTATGGAATAGACACACCAGACAAATACAGAGTATAACTACCTATAGAGAAAAACCTGTTGCATTCAAAACTGCTATTTTAACACTTCTTTTCCCAAAATAAACAAAATGACATCCACACATTGAGACAGACCTGGGTTTCTTTTCTATTATTAGATACAAAAGGCCCAGAGGTTCTGCAGCAGTCCACTAGGAAATGCAGTAATCCTTGCTCTCTGGTGTTCAGCAGCTCGTTTTAGCAGCCACAGCCTCAGATTTAGCACCTCATCTTTTATCCTGCTGTCTTCAAAATTTCACAAATGTTCATGCTTCCTCCAGGTCATGTATTCCCAGGCTGTTTGCCTGGAAGGGACTGCTGCTCTCACCCTGTGGCACATACCTCTAACCTGGGAACGCAGCAGCAAAAACTATTCAGAAAGCTGAAGCATGGAGATTAATTTCATACCAAGTAGAAAATCAGTAAGAAATTGAAAGTAAATTCATGTTCAAGTTGATTAAAAGATGGTTTGTATTATTTCCTCTCATCTTTAATCAGAGGCTATTTCTTTTAAATGTATCTGCTGCTGAGTCACACAAGGTAGTTCAAGATTAACAATACCTCAGGACAAGTTTCTACTTGAACTGGTTTTATAGGCTTTTGTATCCCACAATACACACAAACAGATCATGACTGTGTGTTTGTAAAACCTTTGGAGAAAGGTTTCTTACAAAAGACTATAAGGGTCTTTGCTTTGCTTGAGCAGATTAAATTTTGGAATGCTACAGTTATCACTGAAGCGCATACTGTGCTTTGGATCTGATGCTTGTAAACAGAAAGTATTTGTCTTTACCATGCATATTTATTAGAAATATGATGTCAGGTTCCTGAAGGAATTAGAGACTCAGTCAGACCTTTTTTTGAAATACAGTCTGATCCCAGTTTCATACAGAGTCATCACAAGAGGGCAGATGGTGGTGCTGCTTTTGTACAACTAGTACTGAGATACTGACTTTCAAGGTTATCACTCTGCAAATATTATAATTGGTCAAAGCATAAACAGAGAGGATTTGGGATGTTTTACTTAAGGACAGCTTTTTACTTTGTGAGGACCTCTATAAAGGAACCATAAAAAGTCAGACACTAGATAAATAGTAACAAGGGAATACATCAGGTGAGCAACAGATGACCCTCAAAACCAAAAGATATCCAGTGTTTCTATATATGCTGTGAAAATAGATTTAGTAGATTCATGAGTTCAGGATGTCCTTATGTTAGCAGGTCTTGGAGCACTTGATTTTATATGAAATGACCTTTCATGCTAGATAATGAAAGAATTTGAAGGTACTGAAAGAAATTTCCAGTGGCTAATTTATAGGACAGCATCAGAAATGAGAAGGGACTGCTAACGAGTCCTTTCAGCTCCCAAATAAGTACCACGACTGTATAAACCTAAAGGACAAGTCTTTACGAGACCAGTGATCCCTCACGTGAGAGGCTAAAATCACCATAAATCCACCAACAAGGTGGTATACCCTCAGCCAAGGTGGTTCATAGTTTTAAGATTCATATATTATTGTTACAATGTATTGTTTGAAGTGTAACATATTACCGAGTACCTGTTAGAGTAAAAGCCATTATAATAATTATAGTATTGCCATCCATTGGACAGTATATTTTAATAATACATCTGACTCTCTCTTTTGTGAACCTTAAGCAATACTAAATTATTAACAATGCTTATATACAAATTGCCATCACTGGGCTTTACCGCTAGTATCCCGTAGAGAGTAATAGAAGCATTTCATACACTTACGCATTATTATTATTTCAGATTATGTGCAGATTCCAGATGAAACAACTCCATTACTTCATGGTCAGTTCATTTTCTAAAGGTTATCACTGCAATAATAAAAGCAAGTGACATTTTGTTAATGAAGTCTTATTTCCAGACACCAGGAATATGATAGTTCACAAACCCACTGACAATAATCTAATTTTACTGCCGGGTGAATAAATATAGTATTTCACCAGCTGTTAGCAAGAATACTGTTCCCACCTTCTTTTGTAGGAAATGGCTGAATAAATTTTAACTACATTATCCTAGGATCACAGGGAAGTTTATGTTGGAAGAGACCTCAGGAGGTCTCTAGTCCAGCCTCCTGCTCAAAGCAGGGCCAAATTCAAGGTCAGACTGGTTGCTCAGGGCTTCATCTGGTCAAGTCTTGAAAACCTCCAAGAACAGAGACAGCCCAAACTCTCTGGGCAACTTATTCCACTGCCTCTCATCTTCAGAAGACTTGTCAGTTCACTGCCTATATCGTTACCAGGGCGTATCCCTTCTCTAGTACACAAATTTATGTTTGTCCTTGCTGAAGTTCATATGGTCCCTCTCAGGCTGTGATCTCCATGTTTAATTACTGAAACCCATTTTT